ACTTTGCATATAATATTCTTATTCCCATATTTAGCATCAAGTATAGCACATACTAAAATTTGACATTATTTACATATTGACTAATATGTATTGACTTTTATTTTTTGGCTCAAATAAATAATGTGTTGACTTTTTCACTTTATTATTACTAGATTATCATATTTTTTTTTTCAAATTTTGGATACCTTTAATAAATTTCAAAGTTTAAAACATCACTAAAAGAAAAAAAAAAAAAAAGTAGATTTGAGACTTAAAACAACATTATGTTTTAGAGAACAATATGTCAAGTAAAATTTACGTTTTCTTTTTGTGTAAAATATGAGATTAATATTGGTATTCATATTGGAGATGATGTAATAATGCTGATAGATTGTTATCAAGTGAAATTTTTAGTGTCATAAAGGAAAATAATAAACAAATTTCGATAAAGTGGGTGAAATGTAATATATGAATCGATGTTTCCTGTTAGCTTATTTCTTTGTTGAGTAATAAACACGAATAGATAAGATTTGCTTGATCCCTTTCAAAAACAAAAGAAAATAATAATAATAAATTGGTTGGTTGTAGCTTTGAAAATTTGAGGTACATTTTGGACGCTTAGCACTGCTTATGATTGCGAAGGGGGAAGCATGATAAGTTGAAAACTGATTAATTAGTTCTTATATTATAGTCAAATGAGAGAATATTCTTGAAGAAAAATCCGTATACGTTATGTGGGAATTTACCCAATTGTTTAATAATGATTAAGTGGCACTCGTTTTTCTTTCTTATTGGGTTCGTTTTATGGAAAAATAAAGCGTATTATTGCTTTCTCAACAAACCATGTGATAACGCCTATCGTTTTTAATCTAGTTGGTGAATTTACGCATTGCTGGATTGCCTTCTTATAAAGCACGCACTCCAAGTACCCCAACAATATATATTCCAAAGAAAGAGATCACTAATATATTGTTAAGAAGCTGCCTTTTCATACACACACACATCCGTTCACTTCGCTGATTCGAGTTTATAATTTGAATTGAGATGTGATTTTGTGTGAGAGCTTTTTACTGTAGTAAAAAAGTTAGATGTGACTGTTTCTGAGAGCTTTTTACTGTAACAGAACTCGAATTCTAAACTCGAATCGGCGAAATGAACGGATCCAGAGTGTCTGCGTGCTTAGAGTTGCCCTAATTGTTAAGAAGCTGCCTTTTTTTACAATTTTACTATTTTTTTAGGGTCTCCAATTGTTTTACACACAGGCGCGTGTGTGTATTGACTTCTTTGTAAGTACTCACAGGCCACAGCTTTGGCATCGCGAAGGTACTTTAAGGTAATGTCAAGCTTATTATAAAATACTATTTCTAATTTTAACATAATTGTCAGCAAATAAAAGTACATGAACAAGTGATCTTCTAGTACTGAAAAAAAAAAAAAAAAGTACATGAACAAGTTCAAATAATGCTTCTCTATCTAATATCTGTCTTTTCCTTTTCACTTGTGACTTTTGAGACACTGAAATTAACATACGCCCATATTAGTATTAGAACCTATATGATAGATAACCGATTGGTACTTCCGTTCCATTTTTATACTTTTTTCTTTGTGCCATATCAAAGTGCCAAATTTACATATTACATGATAGTGGTAAATGTAAAAGATAAGATCATGGATTCAAACTATAGAGTTTTGCAATTAATAATTGATTGAATAAGGTTGAAATAACTCAATAAAATACCTTAAATACGACAGGGCTATCATGTATGTAGAGAGGTGGAAAACATTACTGTATCACTTGTGATTTCATAGTTTCATCAAAAGGGAGAGGCAAATTAGGGTTTCGTTGTGTGTAATAAGTGATCAATCAACATAGTCATATAAATATATATCAAGTTGATCTTATATATTTATAAAGTAAGTGAAAGATAATTAAAACCCTGAACCTTCCACTCATATACTCAATAAAGAAACCTGCATGGTGCAAATATATCTGTGATTAAAGTTATCATTGCGTAATGTCATGTCACGTATTTGTCCTTAATTCGAACATATATATGAGAAATATAATCCTACTATTGCTGCCCCATTGGATTTTCATTGCCATTCAATTTCCAATAGGAAATAATAATCGGATAAGATGTTAATTTCAGGGTTTTTTATTATTATTTAAAAGAGTCTTCTACGATATGATCTCATACTGATAGTGTACGTTTTTTACTATTAAATCTTTTATATGTTTGATAAATGTAACTTTTTCAATTCTCATGTAACATTGCTCACAATTGTATAACATTCGGTGTGTACATGTAATACTCAATGTTAAATGAGTTAGATTGTATTTTATAAATGTTACACTTAAACGAACTGAATATTGAGTGCATGGATCAAGATTTTTATTATTTATTCTTGATTAATATATTTTTTAATTAAATAACTGTGTTAGTCAAAAGAGTATTAATAAAGAGTAAAAAATAAAAATTTAGAGTCATGTATTTTAAGAATAAAGTTCAAACAATTTTTTCAAAATAATATTAGTTAAATGAGAGTTTAATAGTGTGTTGGAAAAAACTGCAAAAAGTTGCGTCTTATAATCTGGCCGAATAATTGAAGCAATTAGGTCCATTTAAATGCAAAGTTCATCATAAAGTTGCGCAGTCGAATTATATGCCCTGAATTATGGATCACTCAAAGCAAGTCATTTAAATCCAACATAATTGCGCAACTTTAATATTAAGAGGATGTTTGGTAGAGGGATTCGTTTCCTGATTCGAATCATGATTCGTGGTTCGCTACAGTATTTTCTCTCATAAAAAATTCACGTAAATTGAAAATAATTCGAATGACATGATTTGAATCATCCAACCAAACATCCTCTAAATATTCAGAAATCACCCCATAACAATAACCATCGGCGGGACGACTTTTTTTTCCCCCAAAAAACCCAGTGTATAATGGCATTTAAGAGAGAGAGAGAGAGAGAGAGTGAAGAGAGAGAGAGAGAGAGAGTGAAGAGAGAGAGAGAGAGAGAGTGAAGAGAGAGAGAGAGAGAGAGTGAAGAGAGAGAGAGAGAGAGAGTGAAGAGAGAGAGAGAGAGAGAGTCTGAAGCCCCCAAACTAGAAAATAGAAATCAAGCGAGGGAAAAAAGAGCTTCCAAGAAACCAAAAAAAAGTAATGAACTTAAAGGAAAATGGGGTGATTTCTATGTTCATCATTTTTTTTTTTTTCCTTTGCTCTTGTTTTCTTCCAAGGAACCAACTCTAGTTGTTATACTTTTTAGTTGTAGATAATTTGTTGAGCAGTGTTATTGGACGTTAGAGGTGCACAATATCGCTGATGTTGTATAAGCCCATTTCAAACCAAATAAATATGAACTCTTCTAATAATACATATGACAATGACATAACCACTAATGCACATTTCACGCTCAATTGGATCCAAAGAGAACCAAATCAAGCTCCAAAGGCTATGATTAATTATTTTTTTTTCTCTTTGTTTATAAATCTTTTTTTTTTTTTAAACTAAAACTACAAAGATATATTTTTTTACAAAAATACTTTATCGCTCACTAATATTCTGGATAAAAACATGGAACAAAATGAACCTTAAATAATTTCCGAAAACTATTTCAAACATTTAGAAAACTTCAACCCTTGAACAACAGATAATTTTCTTTTTAAGGGAAAAAAAAATACGCCATCCATCTGAAGGAATCTTAGAAAATTTAATTATAAATATTAATTATAAATATACTTCTTAGTTTCAATTTTATTTCTCAACATCTCTTTATTTTTAGAAACTACAAAAGGAATCATTTGAATTTGAAAGTTAGTTTCAATTTTAGATAAAGTTGGCAAAAAAAAAAAAAAAAAGAATTAAGAGGATAAAAAAGACATTTAAACGTGATTGGAGGTAAAATCTAGCGGTCAATTGACTTCATTATAAGGTCACAGAACTTAAAACCGCCACTCCAAATTAAAAAAAAAAAAAAACATTTAATTTCTAAGCATACATTTTATACGTTTTTTATTCTTTTTTTTATAGTTTCAAACAATACAAGGATAAACAAATTTTTTTTTTTTAAAAGTGAAACTAAAACGTATGCTTGTATCATTACTCCTAAATTTTAAATCGCTTTAATTAAATTGCTTCATTAATTATAGATCCATAGTTTAACACAGTAGGATCACCTTTAAAGTGCTTTATCAAGGGAATATTTATTTTTTGTATTCATATTTAATTTTAAATTATAATTTATAATTTTTTATAATATTTTTTTCTCATAAAAAAAATACGTTGATTATGAACTCATAAATTAAACGTTCCTAATATATCCCGAAGAAGAAGAAAGCAAGGAGAAAAGAATGGAACACGTGTAAGGCTGGTCACTTTGTCGGTGACATTAGATTGAAAATCTAGGGACAAATCCGTAATTTTATCCTGTTATAGTGAGTGTGACTGGACTTACTCTTTGCATATATAATTTGCTTTCCTCTTTCCCGCGGCTTTGAACGCGGCTTTCATTTTGGCATTTCCCCTCTCATTTTTCTTTGCAAATTTGCCCCTCAAATTTATAAGATTTTGACAATTTACTGCTTGAATATCAAATTTTATAAATTTGTCCCTAAGTTGTAAAATAATTGCAATATTCTCTTCTATAGTGATAATTGTGCTAAATTAGTAAGAAAAAAACACATTCGATAAAAAGTTTTAGCATCTCAATTTAAACCGTAATACATATTTTTCAATTTCCCAATCCTTAATCCCTTAAATTTGATAAAATTCAAAGTAAAATTGATAAAGTCATGAAAAAAATTGATAAAATTGGGGCACGTTGTAACTGAATACAAGTTTAAGGGGTAAATTGCTAAACTAAAACTTTAAGGAGTTAGTTGCTAAACATATAAATTTAGAGGAGTAAATGTGCAAAATACGTTTTATTTATTTCATTTTGGAATTAATTTATATATTTTATATTATCCGAAATAAATGAATAATTATTATATTTCCTCTCTGTTCTGAGCAAGTATAAGAGCGAGAGAGCGTGATCTTTGTTGAGCCTTTCGAAAACAAACATGTTATGGCCTCCAAAGAAGAATCAAACGCGTGAGCGTGACTTCCCCAGGTATTCTTCTTCATCTCCTTCTTCTTCTGAATCGATTTCTTCTCTGATTTCTCCTGATTTCGCATTTTCCATCCTTGCTCTTTGCTTGTGCTGTACGGGCAGATCTTGTAGCAGCGGAGTTTGATTTGGTTCGCCGGTCGGAATCGGTAATTCCATGGAACTCTGGAGATCATGAAGTTCTACATATCGACGTCGGGGATTAAGCGAGTCACCATATCGAGCTCAGCCGCCGGTAAGGAGTTCCCGGCGACGGCGACTGCTCCAGCGACTCGGCGGATCTCCAGCAGGACCTTTCTTCCGGTGGTGCTCGTGCTGGGGATTCTTTTGCCGTTTCTTTTTGTCAGAATTGCGTTTCTTGTGCTCGAATCTGCCGCCAATTGCTCTTCTACTCTCGGTATTTCTCTTCTATTTGATTGTGATTAGTACTTTGGAAGTAATTAGAACTATGATTTTCCCCTTTTTTTTTTTTTGCATATTTTCGAATTAATTTGTAGTTGTACAATTTCCTTCTTGATTATAGTTCAGTTGAAGCGTACAAATTATGGCTTTGCTGAATTTGTTGTGTACGGTTCCGAAACTGATAAGGGAGCGTACAAATACTGTGAAACAGACTTTTTGGCTAAAAATTATTTTCTAGTTTTTCCATTTTTATTTTCAGCTGAAAAAAGTTGTGCGATTGCGTCAGTGTATACTGTTTTCCTTCATAGATAGTTCATCACTTCATCATTTTGTTCTTTAATTTTTATTTTATTTATTTTAATTTATTTTATTTTAATTATTTGCCTTTCTTTTCGTTTTTTTATTTCTTAATGAAGATTGTATCGGATGGGGACTACTCGGCGGGAGTGATTCGTCTCTGGTAAGTGTTATACTCTGTATTGACGAAAATGCCCCTTTCGTTTTCAAGTATTCGTTTTTTTTTCCCGAAAATAGTTATTATTTTAATTTTTGTCATTTTTTTGTGAATAGTTGGAATTCAATTTTTTTTTTTTTGAGAATTTTTTATTTTTTGATGCAAAAGAATTTTCTTTATTTTTTATAGAAAAAAATAAATTTTTTTTAATTGGAGCATAGAACATGGCACTTTACTGATTTCTACGTGTGCACCTGTACGGTGACTTAGTAGAATCTTCGTCCCGTTGTGGAGGGTGGACCTCATTTTGTTGAATTCTCGGCAAGCATGACAAAAGTTTTTCTATTTTTTTGTCAACTTTAGGATGAATACCTCATCCTTTTCATGAATTGTGCATGATAATAAGAAAATATATATTTTTAATTTGATATATACACAATAAATACTTGTTTTAGGGCCAGATTATAATACTCTGTCGTATGCTAAAATGGAAAAATGTATGTATATATATTTTTCTGTCCCGCCCGATGCAGGTCATTTTCGTTAAACGAACTAGTTGGTATTGGCATTTTCGTTCTAGGAAAATACAGGATACAGTGTGTGGATAAGCGCACCCTATGGAATTGTCGGTATTCCACTGCCAACAGTTGCTTTCCATGACACGTGGCCAGTTGGGTTCCAATGATATTATTCTAGCCCACTTGTTCTTACTTTATTTCAATTTTCAGTGCCATTGTTATTTTTTTTTGTTGAACATTTTCAATGTCATTATACGAAAATTGAGACGGAAACAAGGAGATAAAACGGAACTGCAATAATTGGCGTTAATTGCTATTCCCAAACCTATTTGCGTACACCCAGTACGTCCATATTGTAGACGCCAAAAAGGGGTTTCATTTTTTTTTTTCCCTTCCTTTGCTGAATTTTGTTGCACTTAAGTTACTCTGGAATCACTCGAAAACCCAACTGGCAATAGATTTTTTATGGTGATGCTATTTTACGTCAACAAGGTATCGTTGCGGAAGTAGTGGTTATCAATTATGATGTTACTATCTCATTAGCAAAAACATTATGATTACTATCTAATATGTTTTTGTCTTTTTAACTGTGTTGTAGCAAAAAAATTATGATGCTACTATCTAATATTTTTTTGTCTTTTCATGTACTGACTGTAAAAGAAGCTCAGGGACGAACTGACAAGAGCCCTACTAGAAGCAAAAGAAGGTAACGTCTATAATGAGGAAGGCATAGAATCTTTCGACGAGCTTGTGAGAGAGATGACTTCCAAACGGCAAGATATCAAGACGTTCGCTTTCAAGACAAAGGCTATGGTACTTGGCTAGCTACTTGCATATATATATATATATATATAATATATATATATATATTGTCGTACTCCTTTTTTTACTTTGTCTATGTACGCGTTAATTCTGTTTTGTTTTACTTTTCTAGCTGTTTTGTAACTTTGTATGTGTTCTTTTCCATCATTATTGTTTTCTGTTGCGTGTTTTACGTCTGCCTGATTGAAAGGTGACGACATCAAAGACCCTAGCCACAACCCTTTGAGTCGGCAAATTAAGCATGGGCCTTACTCCATCTGTCCATGGGTCTATTTGGTTGGGTCTCGGTCTGATCTCGGTCTGATCTCTAGGACCAATCTTTGACATATTGTTGACATCATTTTACAGTTCTGCCTCTCAGTCCATGTATGTTTTTTGCTTGACAATTTCTCTAGTTTCCTTAGTTTTCCTTCTGAAGGACAGTGAGCAGGGTATGGAAAATACAATCACTTGTAACATGCATACAAATGTTCTAAAGAAGCGTGCAACATTTAAGCAGTAAATGCACCCATTCGAAACAAAGTTTTCTCGTTTTCGTCGGCCGTTCTTTTTGCAGTTGCCAACTGGCCCCACCCTACCTGCTATAGTTGTTTGGCCGTTTGTCAAAAAATAAGAGCGTCTTCTGACAGTTGCTGATTAACTTCCCATTTGAGGTCCTACCCTATTGAGGCAGTATTTTTTTTTCCCTCGTGGTAGCGAATTGTTTAACCATCATTGTCTAGTACGTCATATTGATATTGTTCTTGTGCAAACCGTGAATGTTACTTGATTTTGCAGGGATTGCTCAATTATTGCCTGTGGTACTGTCTTTGTGCTATACCTGCTAGCTAGCTAGTATCAGTAGGCATGAATACTGAAACTTTGCAAACTCGTGATTGGATCAAGTTGCAATCTGAAATTTTTATCCAAGTTTCTGGCTGCCATTAGTTAGACATTTGAATTTCACCAACAAATGATCATCAGGGAAACAAAATAAATATGAGAAAGCATTTCGTATATGTATGGATAACATAGTTCAACCCCGAATGTATAATCAATAAATTTATGACTGCAATAATGCGCGTGAACTAGCCGGTGATGTATGTTAACTGTAGTGCTATTTTACTTTTTTTCTTCTCTAGATTTTTGTCAGTTTGAACTCATTCAATTCAACGGATGATAAAATATTTGGCTGTAGCTTAACCTGGTACGACTACTAGGAAACAGATATTTCCAAGTCTTCTAAGATTTTATGGCTGATTTATCATTGATGGATTTTCAATTTAGGGTCTTAAATTAATGTTTTATGCAACAAGAAATTTCCATGCTCTGAAGCATATAACTAACTGCTTAACGGTTAACCCCTTACATCTGAATTGATTCCTTGATTATATGCAGCTATCAAGAATGGAGCGCAAGGTCCAAACAGCTAGACAGCGTGAATCTATTTACTGGCATTTAGCTTCACATGGTGTCCCAAAAAGCCTACATTGTTTATGCCTCAAATTGGCTGAAGAGTATGCTGTAAATGCCATGGCTCGATCTCGTCTACCCGCTCCTGAATATGTTTCTCGCCTTTCTGATCCATCCTTCCACCACCTTGTTCTACTAACGGATAATGTGATTGCAGCCTCTGTTGTTGTCTCGTCTACTGTCCAAAACTCTGCCAATCCTGAAAAATTGGTGTTTCACATAGTTACGGACAAGAAAACTTATACTCCAATGCATGCTTGGTTTGCAACCAATCCTATTAAATCAGCTGTTGTGGAACTCAAGGGGTTGCACCATTATGATTGGCCTCAGGAAGTTAATGTTAGAGTTAAAGAGATGTTGGAGATCCATCATTTGATATGGAGGCATTACTACAATAATTTGAAGGAAGAAGATTTTGAAGAGGAGAGACAAAATAAAAGATATTTGGAAGCTTTAAGTCCCAGCTGCTTGTCCCTTATGAATCATCTCCGAATTTACATCCCTGAGGTAATCACTCTAATATTCTTACAGGATCCTCCCTGATCAAATCGATGGGGTTGAATGTGAATTTGTAATGATATCATCTGGTTTTTATGGGCCACACAGCTGTTTCCGAATCTCAACAAGATAGTGTTCTTGGACGATGATGTTGTAGTACAGCAAGACATATCGCCTTTGTGGGAACTGGATCTCAATGGGAAAGTTATTGGTGCGGTTGTTGATTCACAGTGTGGAGATCATGACTGCTGTCGAGAAAGAAAGTACAAGGACTACTTGAATTTTTCAAACCCTATTATATCATCCAACTTTGATGCTGATCTTTGTGTATGGCTGTATGGCATGAATGTCTTTGACCTTGAAGCTTGGAGGAGGTCTAACATCACTGCAACTTATCATCAATGGTTAAAAGTTGTAAGTATCTTCTGCTCTAAATTAATAAGTTGGTCCGTAAAAACTACGATTTGCATGTATGGATACAATATGATAAGGCCTATGATTCTCAATACTCATGGTTTATTTCTCTGTTTATGATTCTTGTCTCTCACCATGATTTGGTCATAGAATTTTCAGAGCCTCGAAAATGGGTTGGCATTATGGTATCCAGGAGTGTTTCCACCTGCCTTAATTGCATTCGAGGGTCATGTGCATTCTCTGGATCCATCATTTCACGTCGATGGTTTAGGTTACCGTACTCCAGAGGTTAGCGAGGAACTCTTGGAAGCTGCTGCAGTCGTACATTTCAGTGGCCCCGCAAAGCCATGGCTTGAGATTGGGTTTCCTGAGGTTCGAGGCTTGTGGAATAAACATGTAAATGCTACAAACAAGTTTGTCAGAAAATGTGGAGTCATGGGGTAAAGAGAACGAAGATCCCTCTTTCTCACATAATATTCATTTCGGAAGAAAGAAAACCATGGGCACGGTTTGGGACCAGAGGGAAGAAGGTTTTGCCTTCAGTCTCTGCCCACGCTTTGCTCAGGACTGGTAATGTTATTCTTGTCCATAATAGCAAATAGAAGAAGGTACCACGGAATACACTATATAGTTAATATCTTCAGCCTTCAAGAGATATAAGAATCCAGATTGTAGCTCTCTAACAGTGCCTGTAAATTTTAGTCGGACGATCAGAGAATTAGTTTCTTTGGAAGTGGTTTTGAAGTAATATTAGTCGTCCCAAGAATCATCTCAAGTTTTTTTACAAGTAATATGACAAGTGAGCTGGCATCTTTCAACACGGGCTGCTGGGCATCAAATTTATGCCTATAATTTAAACTTGTACGTACCAAGTATAAAATAGCAACTCACTTCCACAATACTTGGTGTAAAAAGTTTGAAATATTCTTTTTTGTTTATACTCAGTATCATGGTTGTACTACTTTCTCTATTCATTTACGTTGAGAACAACTCCAGAGAATTGCCCATAGTATTCCACAACAAATACTTGAGTTCTGTTTTTTTTTTTTTTTTGGCTTGAAAAACTAATGTGGTGGGGCTTGCAATTGGATAATGTCCATCGATGTGCTTCAATGTGCTTTGCTGTATAGGTCAACTAATGGCGTTAATTCTAGTTCATGTGTTAGGGGTTTAGCTCACACACATCTGTAAACCCTCATTTGGGCACTGCACATATCTGTAAACACACACACACACATATCTGTAAACCCTCATTTGGACACTGCAGGTTGTTGGCTTTAGCAATAACCTAGTGATGTCCAACTAGAAAGAAATGCCAGCGACAGGAGATGCCAAAAGCGGATTTAATACTGAGGTTACTCAATATTTCATGCAGTATTATTGCCAACAATATAGTTGGGAGCGAGAATAATCAAGTACTTATTTATGTTTTCTAATAACATGAGTGCATAATAAAGTTCGATGCATGCTGCTGAGCTAACAAATAGTTTAAGAGTTTGGCCATGAGAAAATTAGTCGCCTTCAACATAGTGGGAAACGCACAAAATAGTTGTTTACATCGTCTATACATAAAGCTACAATTTAGAAGTGCATATATATAGATAATAAAAACCAGAAAACCAAATCGCCTTCCTTCTGGTTCCTGCAATTCAACTGCACCAAGGAATATATAACAAAAGAGAACTTAGAAAAGTTCGATACTTAAAAACACATAAATATACAATGAAACTCTATTTATGATTCATATGAAATAGAGGCACTTATTTTGAGCCATCTTAACTAATGGCAGGGGCATGTTTACCAAGCTAAAATGGAAAGAATAATGAAATTGGAAAAGTAGGTAAAAGAATTCTATCGTCCATTTATCTATTAGTATATGCAATCGGAAAATTAAAAATATTTACTAGTTTAATAAAGGTATACAAGTAAATTTGGTGTTTATTCCCATTATCCAAAAAATAATACTAAGAGGTATTAGGATTGAAATCCCCCCACATTTTGTGAGGCTAATTTTTTTTTTATCTTATTATGTTGTTACTAAATAAACGGCTAGATAGGAAAGGGACACGCTCGTCCTTTTTCCTTTTATATTCACGTGATTTAAACATGCCCTTTAAACAATAAGGTATCTGAATATGTTAGGAAAAGAAAAGGTATGATGCCATGCTTCGAAGTGCTCTTATCAGATCTTTTATAGCTTGTAAGTCCAATGTCTAGATTGGAGTAGAAATCTTACACAAGTCGACAAGCTGTCTGGTCTTGACGAGAGTAATGGTGATTGGCGTTCATGAGGCTTACAGGGAGAAAGTTCCGATCATAAGTCGACTGCGAAGCAGGAACGGACTCGCATTCAGTTCCGGTCGGCATCAAGCTCATTTGCTGTTGCTGCTGCTCCTGTTGCTGCTGTATCCTCTCATGTTCATTTATCTGCGTAATCAATTAATAACATTCAAGTTAGCCCTCCGAGTCTTGTTTCAACTTTCTTTCTTCATTTTTCTACAGCTCATAATTGCTTGAGTAGTGGAAGAGAAAGAGAGAACTGAGAGAGAACCTTTGCCCTCAGATAGTTGTTATGGCTTTGCAACTCTATCTCCTGCATGTACAATTGATATGCATCAGTCTTTCAGGACAGAAATCCTCTGAAATTATTTGATAATGGACTTGAACATATAATTAATCCAAATAAGACTCTATTCCGTGTCATGGTTGTCTTCTCCAGTTCATTTAGGAAGCTTTGATTATTGGGTTAGCCGTCAAGTACTTCATATAATTCAAACTTTTTCTTCTGGATTCGGTTTTTTCTTTTTCTTTTTGACATAAAAAAAAGCAACTAGTATCAAGGTTAATTACGACATCCTAATTTAATTGACACTCCTTAGATAAGCCTTTCCTTTACTAATCCCGCTCTAAATTTTAATGAAAAAGAAATATGTCTTTATATATAAAATATTCTTATACTATCTGTGCACAGGTGGATCCATTATAGATCATGGTGATAACTGAGAACTTTCAATTTTAAATACTTGTACATTTTTTTTTAGAAAAAATGAATTATACCTTAAAAAAAATTAGAATATATTCCCCTTATCTATATTACCAAACAAAAAAGCTTAATTAATACATACGTGACCTGTCATCGTTTTTAATTAATTCATCATAATTTTAAGGCCAAAAACTTTTTTAGGCTCTTCTTCTTCTTCTGTTTTTTTTTTATTTTTTTTTTTTATTTTTTTGCCGCAACAACCCTCAACATTAGAGACGGGTACGTGGATTAACCGCTAGATTAAGCTTGCCCCCACTTAATTGTAGACTTCTATTTGGAATGAAGTAAAAAAAAATTAAACTAAACAAGAACAAGATATTTATGGCCCATGGAACAAATTTTTGGCTGCACCAATGACGTCCAACAACACCTTGTTTTATTTAGTCAAGATACAGTACAATTACATTTTCACATACAGTGCATCACACTTGTGTAGAGAAGACAGTAATAAATAGAGACAAGAAACGAAATATAGACGTTGAAGCGAGAAAATGGTACTTACCCTCTTCTGCATAATCTCGATTTCGGCAAAAAGCATTTCATTCTGGCAGAAGAAATCAAGCATTTCATAAACGAGTAAAAATGAAATGACACAATGTACAATGGTATTCAGTAATCCAGAGAAAGGAATTAAGTGTGCGATATATATATACATATAAATATATATGTATGTATGTATGTATGTATGTTTGTATGTTATACCTTCTTGGATCTGATTCTGCTGATTCCTTTCTCCAATCTTGTTTCAAGGCTCTTGAGGTCCTTTAAGCTCATAGAACTTAGAGCTTCACCCACTATATGCCTGTAAACAAAAGTAATTATTACTAGTTTCTGCACAAACACAAACACACACACACACATATATATTGAATTGATAAGGTGTACACACACACACACACACACACACATATATATTGAATTGATAAGGTGTACACACACACACACACACACACACATCTTATATATACTTAGTTTACCTGTTTGAGTTCTGCAGTTCCCGGATCTGTCTTCTCAGTTTGGAAGCTTCTTGCTGGTAAAACTGCCCATACATGTTTGTGCGTGTATGTATAAATGGAAATACGGTTAGATGGATATATAATAAACATATAGAAATGAAGGTTTTGTGGGTTTCTCACTAAAACACTAGACGCGGCACATTTGATTTTAATCATTTATACATCTCATAAAATAAGACCTTGAGAATTTTTTTGTGCTCGAGTGAAAAAAAAAAATAAAAACCCTTATCATCTGATCAGTCACCTCTTTTCTTCCTTTTATCATATTTTGAATTATGGTTTCTTGAATTTTGATGATTAATTGAGCTGTTTATTCTTTTAGATGAAATAACTGTATTCATTTGTTTGAGGAAAGGAAAAGGGAAAATGCATGCTCAAACTTCTAAGTTGAGATGTGATTTTATGTGAGAGCTTTTTACTGTAGCAAAAAAATTAGATGTGACTGTTTCTGAAAACTTTTTACTGTAATAAAACTCGAATCGATGAAATGAACGGGGCCCAAATAACTTTATTCATTTGATTAACTATGCTTTTCGCTTATTATTAGAGAACACGGCATTGCAATTGATTCTTAAGTTTCCATATATTTAAACATTAATACGCGCACACAAACGCTTATAATCAATTTCTACTACTTATTATATATGAACTTTAATTTCCTATATTTCTCTTATTTCTTTGAGTAATTAAGTTTTTATATACAACTAGTGTCTGAGTTCAAAATCCTTTTACTTGCGAGAATATATGCTAACACTGAAGATATCATGAAATAACATTTTTCATTACCTTCATAGTGTGCGTAATATTTTATGTCGTCATTAATATTTAGTACAAATAAAATATATTCGAAATATTACTGGCATTTGTGAAACATAATTTGCCTTTTTTTCCTTTTATTGTTTTCAAGGAAAAATGAGCAAAATGATGTATGTCATTGTCCTCACATGCCACATTCGGATTCATTTTTAATATTTAAAAGTGGGGCAAAAATAAACCTTGAGCTAAGAAATAGTTGGAGCTGAAAATTCTCTCAAAAATTATTTTGGATCAATGTCTGGGCTTCTAAAATACATTTAGGGAGTGTATATTTCGCATGAAAGAGAAAGGGAGCAAACAAATTTTCTTTCTCATCTAAGCATGTCTTCGCTGATATAATCAACAAAAATTGTAGTAAAGAACAGATTTTTTAAACTAAATTAAATAAATAGCAGTCTTATAAAAAAAATTTACATGAAAAATTTTTTTTTACTAGTCGTAAATAAAATTTTTACGCGATAAACTGCTATTTATTTTAAATAATTTTAAAATATGATATTTATTAATTTAGTTTCACTAATATGCTATTACAACATTCTCCCTGTAATCAATATAAAATGAGAGTTTAGGGGGCCCATACGCTCTTTGGTAAAGTTTCTTGGAAGTCAATTTTGACTTCATTGGTTCAAAAGCTGCTTCTAAAAACATTTAAAAATTTGTTAGAAGAACTCTAGCTTTCCGAAAGAGCTTCTTGTTAAAGCCAGAAAATGTGACTTAAATTTTTTTTTGAAGTATGAACTTTATTCTAAGAATTTTTTTTCGCTTATAAGAAAAATTTTCAATTATTTTGACTTATTGAGCTCTTTTTAAAAATGTGATTCCAAATTCTTTGAAATACTACAATTTTTTTTCTCTTCTTCTATTCACTAAAAACAAAAGCAAAAGTTCTGACAAATGGACCTAATATAAGGGATGAGAAAGAGTAATACCTATATATCTTTTCACCCTTTTGGTATTGATTTTCGGTGAAAATAAATGCCAAATTTACTTATACACATATCATTAATATGTTCAATATGTAATAACTCAATAATTATTTAGTTAGGTAAAAGACAGTTTATAAATTGTATTGATAAGATTACTATTTCTAAGTGTACTAAACACTAGTAAGGGATCAAATATCGTTTATTATTTCACCATTAAATATATAAGTAAACGCTAGAAAAGGATTATATAATAATCTTCATTATTATTACTTCACATTCCTTTTCAATACTATATAACCTTTTTTATTAAATATATTTCTTTATTTGATAAACACACTGATAATGTGGAAACACATTTGAACGTAGGTGTGTGACTAAATCTTATGTTTATAATTTAAATAAGACAAGTATCGAAAATACACACATATAATCTAATGATTAAATATTGTATCTAATTAGAGCTTCTTTAATTAATTGGTAGATATATTATATGTGAAAGCTACAAATTCATATTCATGTTTCGTTCAACTTCAAAGAGAGGGAAAAAAAATACACATGATTAAGATTTTTGCCATGCATAACTTATCAAGCCGCGCACATTCTTTGCAGTGAAAACTTATATAGTTACCTGAACATTGGCCTCGACAACAGATCCTGTGTTTGAAGAATCAGCACATGCTTTCTTGTACCTTTCAATTGTACCTCTAACGCTGCATAAAAATATATAATTAAAATAATAATAATAACGATATTGAAATTACAAAGATTTCACGATCACAAATTTATTATAAAAAAAAAAAAAAGACAAACACGTTCCTTCTAGTGCTTTTGATAAGAATATTTATTTTATTTCTAGATGGACGAACAGAAAAGCTGTAGCAACAACAATAATAGAGAGTTTATAATTCAAGCAAGTAATAAGTATGAAATAATTGAAACATGTATACGAGCTCAAATTAGCCCTTGATATATAAAAGAGTTAGCTAATGAAAAAGATTAAAAAAAAAATTGAACGAGGGATTTATAAGATTATATATTGTGTCACAGAAATAGTCTAAAAAATTATAGCTAATAGTAAAACCGAGGGAACATAATGAATATCCTCTCTAGTTAGGTCCAGATTAATTAAATTGCCAATCTGCAGGAGGATCATCAAGCCACACATTTACAAGTATAATCATGACCTAATTAAGCAAATTGAACTAGTAAGGAGACTGATGAATTAATGACTCAATAAATGTGGATTCAAATAATAACTTAACTAAGTAATGGTGTCCTCAATCATTCTCAATTATCATGCACTATTAAGTTAATTTCACGTTTTGAAATAATATATCCAAGTTAGAAATCTAAGAGCATCTCAATGCAATACTATTATGGTTCATGATTCTGATTTTTAAAATTTAAATTTTTTTTGAGAGAAAAAGTCTGTAGTAGAACCAAGAACCATGTTCATAAACCAAACAGAACCCTTAAAACAAACGCCATCTTAATGATTATGGGAAAAAGTATATTTGACATTTCAAATAGCTATGCATCGGAGCAAAAATGAAAATAACATACCATATTATACTTTTTTATGCTAAATATATAATTGACATTAATCTTTACATTATAAATGGTCTAAATAAATATTAAGCAGAATTAAATAACAAAATATAAGTACTAAAAGAAATCCAAAGATTTTGCAGTTTGCACACACTTTTAAACTTCACATCCTAATTCCAAGTACAATGCTGAGAAATAGCTTTTGTTATACCTTACAGATGCTTAATCAAACTTCTGTAAGAGATACACCAAAATCGTCATATCTTATGTATCGAAAATTTGTAAGAGACATATAGAAACAATTGGACAATAAATATCTTTTAATGGGTTATGTGAGTTTATGTACGGTTCTCTTTACAGAAAGTAATTATTTGTCTATAATTATTTGGAAGATAATAAATTACGTAGTTGCCTTTCCAACACGCAATTTTGTGGTGCCTATTTTGTAGTTAGTTTGTTTTATGAATATACTTAGTCTTGAAAAAAAAAAACACAAAAATTCAGTACACCAGTCACGCAAACCCACACCAACATCACACACGTAAGATATACTTTATGTACAAATAGTAAATTTAGGATCATGAATTAATGAGATATATTTTAAGGGTTCTCCTCCTTCTATCCCTAAATAAAATTATTTTTAACATAGTTCTGTAAAAAATGCATTTTTTTAATAGGACATTAATTTGAGATGACTGATAAAAACTAAACTAAAAAAATATATTGCAATCTTCACAATCTCGAGTCAATGTACTCATGAGTTAAGTGAATTATATATACCTTGCAACACAAATTTATCAAAGACAAGTTACATATATACATATATATATATATATATGTATATATATATATATATATATATTAAAATCATGACTTTGCAAATGAGTGCTAACCTAATTGAGATATTAGTTATTTTTTATATTAGTTATCTTCTCTTATCATTTTCTTTACGAAATACAAAAAATTGAATAGGATCAAATATATGAATCAACACTCTTAGTTTTTCAATTATTCTCTTTATATATATATATTAAATATTTACACCAACAGAATCATGTATTAAACAATGTTTATGTTCAAGGTCAATTGATTTTTTTTTGTTAGTTTAAAACTCTCTCTCTCTCTCTCTCTCTCTCTCTCTCTATATATATATATATATATATATATATTGATCCATCATGACTCTAACTCACTACGTTAAAATTTTGCAAGCACCATTTCTTTTTCACAAGAACTGCGAATGAGATTAATTTTATAGTAATTCACCGAATAAAAAAAATAAAATACATGCAGTAAAGTTCTCCTGACCAAAAACTTACTACATACAATATTATATCATATACGACAAATGTAAGCGCATATAATATAATATCATATAATTCCTTTGAAAAAAGATGGGTAAAAGTGGAGAGCGAAAGCATCATTAGATTCTATATTTCCCTTTCTAATCTATGGCAACTAACTCCAGGATGGTATAACCTTAATATCCTCGAGCTACTGATTGGTTGGTCCCTGCTAACCTGTCAGAAGATCCCAAAATAGCTCAAATCTCTTAACTTCTAACCACACGCCACGTGTACAATAACCCATTACTCAAAGTGTAATAACCATAGGATACACTTCATAAACCACCAGGTACCATCAAAATCCAAACTACACCATCTTGAATAATTTCAGATCATCAGTCTCTGGATTTTCTTCCTTTTTTTTTTTTTTTTCTCTTGTAATAAAGTGATGTTTGAATAGACTACATGAAAAGAACCCTACATCCGTTTTGTGTCTGAACACTTTTGTGGAACTGAGAACTGAGAAGCCTGTTTTGGTGCAGGCATTTTTGCATGCTTACCCGTCCCCACTCCCCATTCAGTCTCACCTAAATTTTCAACACAATCCCTTTTATTGGCTCGTACACTTTGATTTTTTTTTCCTTTCACTCTTCTCACTCTTTAAATATTCCTTCCATCACTCTAATATCTCATGATAAATACTACGGTGTTGGGTATGAAGTGATCTTAATTAATTAGCTCAGATTTGACTCTCTCTCTCTCTCCAAGAATGTTGCACAATGAGTTCGAAGTATGTGTATATCTTTATAGGCTTACTAGTTACTACCTACACCCGCCTCAGTTATATATATACATATATATATATATATATATATGTACTATTTAAGATTTTGCACGCTCAAAGACGAGAAAAGAATAGAGAGCGAATTTTGCACCAAGGAAAGAAATAAAAGAGAAAAAATGGAAAGAGGGAAAAAAAATGGAAGAGGGATGAGCATTAGAGAAAAGAGAGACGCCAAGTAAAAGGAATCTTGGCACTATCGTGAGAAAAGTACTGAAAAATCATTTCTGATGACGTGACCAAAGATTCGTATATATGTTGTAACTCAAGACATCATCAATCTATATATATATATGTACACACATATATATTACAGCTCACACATGCAAACCCTATTTGATCCCTCCTTAATTTGTAATTTGTATAACGTATATTTTCTATTCTCATTTCTTAAGACTCATGAGAAGGGGTAAAATGGTCTTATACGGGTAATGAAACTTAATGACGCCATCACTAGATTACCAAAAACTTGAAACCCTAGATCATTTTCTTTTTGTTCTTTTTTTTTTTTTTCTTTTCTGGGCTAGATCATTAAATCCTATACTCAATTCAACTCTGACTAACTGATACAAGGAGTGTTAATGACTTCCGACACATACCCTTTTAAGTATTCAAACCCTAATTGAATTTAACTTGAAGAAGAAAGCCAAAACCCCTATATAATCTCTGCAATTTCATTGGTGTGATTGCTGATAATATATATATATATATATATGTATATAAACTGAGATGCAATTGTTACTGAGGAAACGTCAAGAAAATAGAATTGAATAGACTGGGCCGCTAATCAGAGTACTGTGACAGCTTTTTCTAGAGAGAGAGAGAGAGAGAGAGAGAGAAGACAGTGGAAAGACAAAAATGACGAGGTCTTAATACATGAAAAACAATGGGCATGTGAAACTGAAAATCTTTTGTGAGCCTAGAGCTATAAGTTGTTGGCTTACATATTAACAAGTTTACGACCGGGAAAAGAAAAATCTACTATTAAACTACTTCTATTTCTATCTATTACCGACCGGCAGATCTGTGATTCCTTTAAGCAAAGGACTATAATGAAACACGAAAACGAAAATCAACCCCATAAAGCACACAACGGAAAACCCAAATTGGAAAAATAAATAAATAAATAAATATTATATCGATCTATCTTTTCTGTTTAGCCAAACAAAAAACCAAGGAAGAAAATGAGAGAGAGAGAGAGAGAGAGAGAGAGAGAGAGAGAGAGAGAGAGAGTTGATCATTACTTGGGAGCTGGGACAGCTACCTAGATAATCTTTTACACCAGTAGTCCTGGATCTCAGAAGGTCAGAAAGCTAGGCTATATATATTTGTTGCATAAATCCATTGGAAATCTTTGACGACAGATTCTATATATGTATATCAAGGTGAAAATATAGATAACACTAGATCTTTAAACTGAACAAAGATTTAAAATTTGAGACTGACCAAACAAGACAAAATATGTGTTAAATGATTTTGCTTGGATCATTATCAATTTTCTTTTAGTTTAGCCGATCAAAGAAGAAATATAAAAAATAAATGAAAGAAACAAGAATATTAATGTCAAAAGGGAGAAGAAAACACTTTGAAATTAAATTAAAAGAATTAACCTGTTGTTAGCGTACTCATAGAGGCGTCCACGGCTGGAGAAGACAATAAGAGCAACTTCAGCATCGCACAAAACAGACAACTCATAAGCTTTCTTGAGCAAACCATTTCTGCGCTTACAAAAAGTGACTTGTCTGTTGGTTGTGTTCTCTATTCGCTTGATCTCAATTTTCCCTCTTCCCATTTTTCTCTGGGAAGAGCTTTCCGGTGCTTGATTTGGGAACTCCGTGGTTGCTGTCTGAAAAACAAAAAACAAAAAAACAAAAAATCATCAAAAGCATGCTTTGATCATATGTAATATCTTGTGTTACTTATTTATTTACAAGATGATCTTAGTTTGTTTTTTTAATTTTATATAACCCACAAACCTTGAAAAAAAAAAACCAAAGAAATTTGTAGTGGAAAACCGAGGAGAAAGGAAAGCCGAACAACTTGTTCTTCTTCTTGATCGATCTTTGAGTAGTTGAGTCTCTTTTAGTTCTTTGGTTATGTATAGGAAAGGAAGTGGGCTGGTCTAGCAGGTGGGTATTTTTGGACAGGAAATAGACGTCTCAACCATCTTCCAACTCACACTTTTATTTTGCTTTTCGTGGGGTCTAGAGAATACTCTTCTCATACATATTCTGTATATATAAAATATAATATATATATATATGTACATAATATTACTGGTGGAATTGAAAGAGGACTAATGGTTAAAAGGGCTTGAGTTCACTTTCATATGCCGTCCATTTTTTCATGTATGGGAAAATTAAAGGGGAGGATAATAAAAGGGTCTTTGGGAAAGCGACTTATTTTAATGGGGATTTGAATGACACCCTTGTTTAAGTTTCACTCAAGATCCTCAGTAGTGCACAGTAGAGAAGGTTTGGAATAAGAGCGAGGGTACAGCCCCGGGGCAACCCCGGAACAACCTCGGGACGGCCCCAGCCTCGGTACAGCCCCGGAACAGGCCTGGTACCGCCCCGGGACAGCCCGTGACAGCCCCGGCACAGCCTCGGTACTGCCACGGCTTAGCCCTGGGACAATCCCGGGACGGCCCGGGACAGCCCCGGTAGAACTCCCGGACAGTGCCGATACAGCCCCAGTGCAGCCCCGGCACAACCCCGGTATAGCCCCGGGACAGCCCCGGGTCTTCCCCGGGACAGCCCTGGTAGCACCCCGGGATGGACCCGGGGAAGCCCCGGTACATCCCCGAGTACAGCCCCGGGACAGCCCCGGTACAGCCCCG